GTTAGCTGTTGCTATATGAAGAATAATACTGGATACAACAAGTTTTTGTTTTATTCTACAGGTATTATAAACACTTTTTCCAAAATATATTTTGAAAATGTAGAATCAGGTTTAAAGGGTAACATTATTTTAAGATTAAAACTGTGCTTTCCTATGAAGTTATTCTATAAATCCTATGTATTTTTTGATTTTTGTTGTTGATTTCATAGAGGAAGAGAGAAACATCAATGATGAGAGAAAATTATTGATTGGCTGCCTCCTTCACACCCCCTACTGGGGATCCAGCCTGCAACCCAGACATGTACTCTTAATCAGAATCGAACCTGGACCTTTAAGACTGTAGGCCAACACTCTATCCATTGAGCCAAACCATCTAGGGCTATTAACTTGTATTTTAAAAAACTTCTTTGAACTTTAATAATTGTGGCAATTTAACAATAAAGTTTTAAATCCATTCTGAGGCATGAGAATTCGCATCCTTAGTCAATTGTCATATATGGATGTGTATGTATATCACACAAAGGGTAAATATAACTTACTGCTCTACTTCTGTACACAAATCAACCCCTGGCTCACAGTTATGTTCAGTAAATGTTTACTGAATAAAAACCAAAACAGATATCTGAACTATTTTATAATATTTGTTATTCTTTCTTTTTACTACTATTTGATAGAAATATATTAAAGCCTGGCCAGTGTGGTACAGAGGATTGAGTGTTGGCTTGTGCACCTAAGGGTTTCAAGTTTGATTCCTGGTTAAGGGCACCTACCTGATTTACAGGTTCTATCTCTGGCCCCGGGGGTACAAGAGTGCAGGAGGCAGTCAATGCCTGTGTCTCTCTCACATCCATGTTTCTTTCTCTTTCTCTCTCTTCCCCTCTTCTTTCCACTCCTTCTAAAAATCAATGAAAAAATATCCTCAGGAGAGGATTAACAAGAACAACAAAAGAAATATATTAAATATCACATTTCTGATATATTATGTAAGTTTTATATCTGGTACATGAGTTACACTTAGAATAACCTATTTATACACATTATGATTTTTCTTATTATTTATAACTCAACATTTAATATAATTTTAAAGTAATTTGGCTTATTTTGTCAACATTTATATATGCATCTTTGATAAAATTTCTGTATCAGATGTTATTATTTATATACAGGCCTGTTCTTTTAAAAAATATAATTTTACTGATTTCAGAGAGGAAAGGAAGAGGGAGAGAGAGCTAGAAACATCAATGATGAGAGAGAATCATTGATTTGCTGCCTCCTGCACACCCCACACTGGGGACGGAGTTGGCAACCCAGGCATGTGCTCTGACTGGGAATCAAACCCATGATCTGGTTCATAGGTGGACGCTCAACCACTGACCCACATCGGTTGGGTTATAAAGGCCTGTGGTTTTTTTGTTTTTCTTTTTAAAATATATTTTATTAATTTTTTTTTTTTTTTTTTTTTTTTTTTTTTTTTTTTACAGAGAGGAAGGGAGAGAGATAGAGAGCTAGAAATGTCGATGAGAGAGAAACATCGACCAGGTGCCTCTTGCACACCCCCTACTGGGGATGTGTCCGCAACCCAGGTACATGCCCTTGACTGGAATCGAAGCTGGGACCTTTCAGTCCACAGACTGATGCTCTACCATTGAGCCAAACCGGTTTTGGCACAGGCCTGTTTTTATGAAACACTGTATTTTTTCTATTTTTCTAAATTTCAGAGTCTCTTACACATGTTTTTGTTTTGATTTGGAAAAAGCAAGTGTTTACCTACATTTCTTGTATTGTGTTACAGAGTAGGGTAAAGTACACGTCCTTCTTATAAATTAATGCTATCACAAGAACTAAGCTCTAATGCACTGAAAAGAAAATAATGTGTGTTTTTTTAAAAATATATTTTATTGATTTTTAACAGAGAGGAAGGGAGAGAGATAGAGAGCTAGAAACGTCGATGAGAGAGAAACATCGGCCAGCTGCCTCTTGCACACCCCCTACCGGGGATGTGCCCGCAACCAATGTACATGCCTTTGACCGGAATCGAATCTGGGACCCTTCAGTCCGCAGACTGACGCTCTACCACTGAGCCAAACTGGCTTCGGCAAATAATGTATTTTTAAATAATTTAGTGCATTAAGGTTTGACTGCAGTATTTGAGAAGGGAAGTTTCACATTGATTTTAACTCAGAGTACTCTTTGTTAAGAGTATGAACCTGCGTAGGAATTGGATGTAAAACTGGTATCTCTTGTAAAAGGGTAAAGATAAAATACAGTTAAGATACACAAAATAATAGGGTTTTTTTTTTTGTATTTTTATTGATTTTGTACAGAAAGGAAGGGAGAGAGATAGAGAGCTAGATCGATGAGAGAGAGTCATCGATCAGCTGCCTCTTGCACACCCCTTACCGGGGATATGCCCGCAACCAAGGTACATGCCCTTGACCAGAATCGAACCTGGGACCTCTCAGTCCTCAAGCCGATGCTCTGTCCATTGAGCCAAACCGGGTTCAGCACAAAATAATAGTTTTATTTTATTTTTTCTAAAACATCAATGTGAGAAAGACTCCTCGATTGGTTGCCTGCACCCCAACTGGGGCTGGGTATTGAGCCTACAACCAAGGTATATCCCTTGACTGAAATCAAGCCCAGGACCTTTCAGTGTTCCGCTCTATCTCTGAGCCAAATGGGTTAGGGCAGTGGTCGGCAAACTCATTAGTCAACAGAGCCAAATATCAACAGTACAACGATTGCAATTTCTTTTGAGAGCCAAATTTTTAAACTTAAACTTCTAACGCCACTTCTTCAAGATAGACTCGCTCAGGCCGAGGTATTTTGTGGAAGAGCCACACTCAAGGGTCCAAAGAGCCGCATGTGGCTCGAGAGCCACAGTTTGCTGACCACGGGGCTAGGGCAACAATAGTTTTCTTTGAAGGCAGTTTTAGTTTTATAAATATCAATGACATTTTAAGAACATAATTATTTTATGTTCAGAAATTTAATTGTTGCCATGGCCCCTGAAAGAAGTTGCATTTTATAAGTATGTAATTTTGTAGTCACATTTTCTAATTGTACTAGTAAAGCTAAAATTACATTCTCATTTTTTGTACATATTTACCTTACACTTTTGGTAGATGTCCATTACTGTAGGTTTCTCTCTTAGTTTTAGAATGTCTGAATAAATTTGATAACATGCTTACATGGTATTAGATTCATTCATTTTAAATAGATTTCTAGCAATTAATTTGAAATCATGCTATCATTTATTTTTCTTCATGAGAACATTTGGAATGCTTTTAAAGCTTAGACCATTATCTTTTGGTAGCTGTCCAGAACTTGGTTTCCTTCATCCTTTAGCATTGTATAACTGCATTTTCCAGATCTTTATATTGCTAATTCCTGATAAACAATCATTTTGTATCTGCCAGGTATTAACCAAAGCCATGAATTTGCTTTGTAACTAGGCTTGTTATTTAAACAAAGTATCTACATTTCTATTTCATGCTAATTTTACAATTAGACACTTTTGCCTAAAAATTGATATTGAGCTTACAAGGATACATAGTGGGTAGGGCAGCAGTGGAAGATTTTACATCTCAAAACTGCTCAGTATCTAGCTAATTAATCTATTCAGACAGGCCTAATTACTTTCTAATGAGTGAGCCCCATCTTTCTACCACTTAAATGACCTTAAAGAAAAAGAGTGATCTTAAATTTTCAATAGTTAAGTTTGGAGTGCAGAGCTAGATCAGAGAAAGCCTCAATGAACATTGGACTCCAGTTTCATGGTGTTATCACTTGGTGACTTGACTAGGAGAACTTGAATTCTTGCATCTTTTATGATCATATAACTAACTTCATTTTTCAGATCATCGCATTATATGGCTAATTCCTGATTAACGAGCATCTGTGTTCCTACACAGCAAGCTGAGGGTAGTCTTGGTGTTCTCTCTCCGACTATAACCCTAACCAGGCTTTTGACCTTCCGTCTGTAATGCACTTCCATTTGTCACTGGGGCCAATGTGGTATGTAAATGGGCGGCAGATTGGGTGGCACGTCCACCGGCGGAACTTTGGGTTGAGTCCAGGATAGGAATTTAATGGGAGGAGAGGCTGTGGCAGGACAGTGAAGTCAGCACGGCCAACCACAGGAAGCCAGGCGTCACTGCATCCTTCCTGGAAGCTGGCCGACCAGTCCGCCCAGGGCCGGTTCCGGAGAAAAAGGCCGGCGGGCAGATCCCCGAGCCCGGAGGTGCCTCGGGAATCCCTTCCGGCTACGATGATAAGACGCTCCTCTCCCAGCCTCCGCACCCCGCTCCCCTCCGCCGGGGCCTCTCCGGGCAGCACACGCGGCCCGCGAGACCCGCGCCGCGGAGCCGGCCCAACGTCCCGCCCCGCGCGCGCGCCCCCGCGCCCTCCCGTTGGCGCGTTCGGGCCTCGGCGCGCCGCCGGCTCCAGGCGCCCCCAGCCTCGGGCACACCTCGGCGGCGGCGAGCGGCCCGGGGAGGGGACGGCGCCGGGAGGTAGGCGCTGCCCGCCGTCCGTCCGCGGCGACGCGCACGCAGACCGGCCTCTCCCAGGCCTCCTCACGCCGCCGCGGGCGGGCGCGCACGCCGAGTGACGCCGGAGGAGGAAGCGCAGCGCCCCTTCCCCGCCCTCGCCGCCCGGGCCCAGCGGGAGCCCCCAGTGCGCCTGTGCGGAGGCCTATGTGTGCCCTCTCCGGGCTGCAGCGCTAGCCGCCGGGCGGAGGTGGGGAGGCGAGAAGACCCGGAGGAGGCGGAGGGGAAGTGGGGGGAGTCAGCAAGGACATGGCTCCTGACTCCTGTGCGGAACGTGAGTGACTGAGCGGCAGAGCCCGAGTGAGCGAGCGGCCGACCGGCGGGCGTGGGCCGGGCGCCGGGAGGGAGCGGGAGCGCGGGTGGCCGGCCGTGCGGAGGGGGGTCCGGGTGGGGGGGGGCACTAACTGGCTTGCATGTGTGTTTTAATGGTCCCCCCCAACTCCCTCTTAGATGGTCTCTAGCGACCGGCCCGTGTCTCTGGAGGACGAGGTCTCCCATAGTATGAAGGAGATGATTGGAGGCTGTTGCGTTTGCTCAGACGAGAGAGGCTGGGCCGAGAACCCGCTGGTTTATTGCGACGGGCACGGCTGCAGCGTCGCGGTGCATCAAGGTAAACACCCAACCGTCCGCCGGGCCGAACCGGGCCGCTCCCAACCGTCACCGCTTCCCCCGCCCGGGCCGCAACCGCCGGCTCCCCGCCCCTCCCCTCCCCGTTCTGCGGCGGGATGGCCTCCGCGGGGCCGCGGCGGGGTGGGCCGTGCGTGTGGGAGAAAGTGCGTGTGGCCCGCACTGTCATGTGACCCGACGCTCACTCAAGTGTCATTTGGCCGCCGCCCGCGCCGGGACCCGGGGGTCTGGAGACTTGGGCCCCGTGGGGAGGAGGGGCTGCGAGGCTGCGGGAGGGGGGAGAGCGGGGGGCGGAGGGGCTTGCCCCCCTCGGCAGTGCTACCTCGGCGGTGGGTTCGGGCACGTGCGGACCCCTCCCCCTGCAGGCCCGCTCCCGCTGCCGCAGTGTGTGCCCGGGGACTTCCTGTGGCCTGGAACCGGCCTGGGAGTGCCCGCCGCTCGCCGCTCCGGGGCGTGGGGGAGGGGGCGGGGGAGCCTGGCCGCTTTAGATTAGGGAGGGAGGCGTCTGCTGCCGCACCTCCAGCTTCTGGCGGAGATCCTGCTGCTCGGGCCTGGGAGCTTGCTGCGGAGAAGAGGGCGGAAGGTCGCGCCGCAGTTGTGCTGCTGCAGGAGTGGCTTTGGCTGAACTGGCTGGGGCTGCTGGATGTGTGCAGTGGTCAAATCAGGCCACTTCTTCAGCCTAAGTGATTGAGAGAAAAAGAGGAGGTGGTGCCACCAGTGATTTGGGGAGCATCTTAGTTTATTTCTGGGTGTTTCCACTCGGTTTTTTGATATTTAAAAAAAAAAGCCTCGGACACTAACAAGACAGTTTTCTGGACATTGACCTTTCATGTGGTAAGGAAGTGAGGCAACCTAGGTAATTTTTTGGTGGCTCTTATACTCTCCTTATTATTCACCAGCCTGCCCCATTCCCATTTCTGAATCTGGCATTGAGTGGTAAATAAGTGGCGCTAAAGTGCATTCTTTAGAATGGAATCTTAGAACTGGGAAGGAAAACTTAGAAGGTAGTGAATTAACCTGAGGATGCAGTTATTCCAATATTCCTTTAAAGAAGAACAAGGTTGCACAGCTTCCTTTTTTAAGGAGTAAAAAAATGTGTTGAAACTAGATACTGATTTTAAGATCTTAGAAAACTGGTATATAGTATTTACATTCCGGTGTTTATGGACATTGGTAGAGGTATGTCTTATGAATTGGGTTATAAATTATCAGGTTTTGATAAGCAATCTCATCTCAATATAGAAAATGTTTATTTAAGGCTTAAATTTTTTCAAAGTTAATTTTCTTTACAAGTACTTGAACTAAGAATTGAACTATGTTTTGGACACTCACGTAGTGTTTCTTGCTGATAGAACATTTTTGAGATTTAAAAATTTGTGCTGATTTTATATTCTTTTAAGTGCCTTCAAATATTTAAGGTATTTTTAAAATATATTTTATTGATTTTGTACAGAGAGGAAGGGAGAGAGATAGAGAACTAGAAACATCGATGAGAGAGTGTCATCGATCAGCTGCCTCTTGCACATCTCCCACTGGAGATGTGTCCCAACCCGGGACCCTTCAGTCCTCAGGCCGATGCTCTATCCACTGAGCCAAACCGGTTTCGGCATATTTAAGGTATTTTCAAGTTGCCTTTGAGTGCACTCTTTCGAGAATGTCAATTAGATGTTAGTGTTTTTAGGAAAATTTCAATTTTGAGTTAATTACATATTATAAAAACAATTAAAAACAACTAGACTTAGATATGTAATATATATTCATACTTACTGGAACATTCATATATATTTGGGAGTGTTTACTTTTTATAAGTAACACCTTTATTGAGATGTGATTTACATACCCTACAACTCACCTTTTTAAAGTGTACAGTTCACTTTTTTTGGTGTATTCACTAAACTTTGCATCCATTACCACAATTTTAGAACATTTTCACCATCCTAACAAGAAACCTTGTACTCCCATTTCTACTCAACTCCCCAGGCAACCACTGTCTCTATAGATTTGCCTATTCTGGAAGCATTTCACTTATTTTTTTTTCTCAAATGTGTTTTTATTGATTTTTAGAAGACAGGAGAGAGAGAGATAGGAACATTGATGAGAGAGACATCATCCATTGGCTGCCTCCTGCATGTCCCCTTCTGGGGATCCAGCCCAGAGAGTGAAACCAGGTCATGTGCCCTGATCTGAATCAAACTGGTGACCTCTTGGTTCATGGGTTGAGACACTGAACTGCTAAGCCACACCAGCTGGGCTCATTTCACTTTTACATTTAATTTTCTGCAGTATCTGTTGCTCATTTTGAAAGATGATTTGGAAATATTTTCATTAGACTTATCTAAAATGATTGCTTTTTAAACTGCATGATATAGGAATGAATTAATTAACTTCTGAATTAGTCTATAAAAAATCTAATCATGTGTTAAATTTTACCTAATATTCCTATCATAAAAGAATAATTAAAATTGTAATGTTTACACTTAAATGAAATAGCATAATTGGCATTTTAACATTTTTACTGTGTTATACAATTTCAACTAAGATAATGTATGTGTTAAATATAGATATAAGATGTTTTAATTTTCTACAAAGCAAAGGTTTACATAAATAGTTTGAGAGGTAGTTAGTTTAATAAAGCTTTGAAAGGGTATTTGATTTTCCATAATTCTTTATTCTTAACATATTTTATTTCCCGACAGCTTGCTATGGCATTGTTCAAGTACCCACTGGACCATGGTTTTGCAGGAAGTGTGAATCTCAGGAAAGAGCAGCTAGAGTGGTAAGGACTGTTTATCAAAAACATTAAAATACTTCACTGAGTAGCTTAGGATGTTACTTACATGTTTCAGTTTGAAGGGTGTCAATCTGTTGTTCAAATATTGAATTTGGGCCAAATATTGACTTACAGTTTTAAACCAATTTTATAAAATCTGAAAAAGAAATTCTACAACATAAGCGTATGTTGATGGATACTTTGAGCAGATAATATATAAAGTTGTATTTTAGCTTATTAGCCCTAACTCCTGGTTTGAAGGCTAAATTGGCTAATCATAGTTAGAATATAATGACAGAAGGACATAAGAAAGTTATACTGATAATTCTGTCAAGGTTTTTTTAATGAATAAAAAACATTAAGAATTTAGCAATTCATATTCTTTTTACTATGTCTGCACATGTATAGTTTAACTTTGCTCAATATTTTCAGATATTCAGTCCCTTTGGCAAAACAACATAAAGATCTTCCTTTTTTACTTAGCTGGCTGCCTTCTTTCTAAACACTAAAAAAGTTTTTGTTGATTTTAGAGAAAGGAAGAGAGAGAGAGAAACATCAGTGATGAGAGGCAATCATTGATCGGCTGCCTGTTGTACACTCCCTACTGGGGATCCAGCTTGAAACCTTGGACATGTGCCTTGACCGGGAATCGAACTATGACCTCCTGATTCATGGTTGATGCTCAACCACTGAGCAACACCCTCCGGTCCTGAACACTTTTGTAAACCACCTATAAGAATGAGGGAGGTATGTTTGTTTATTTTTTATTTTAAATATATTTTTATTGCTTCCAAAGAGAAAGGGAGAGGGAGAGATAGAAACATGAATGATGAGAGAGAATCATTGATTGGCTGCCTCCTGTATACCCCCTACCAAGGATGAAGCCTGCAACCCATGCGTGTGCCCTGACTGGAATAGAACCTGTCCTCTTGGTTCATAGGTCAGTGCTCAACCCAGCCACACTGCCTGTGTGGTATGTTTATTCTTTATGGCCAAAGCATTTTTCTATTTGAACTTCTAGATCTATCAGGGAGAAATAGATTTAATCTTCATTAATCATATAAAAGCGTTATTATTTGCAATGTTATAGTTCCTTCCTTTTGTGTTGTTTAGAGAACTTGACAGAAGGTAGGAAAGAAACATTTCAACTTCTCTACATGTATAATAAAAACAGATCTTTTACTTTTGCATGAACAAATGGCTGAATAGCCTATTTAGGTTTTGAAATTTAAATCAGTATTCTGTTGATATGTTTTGTTTGAGTGAAAATGCACGGTAGCAGAATTATAGCGATTGTTCAAATGTTACCATGATGGGAATTAACAAATGGAGGATGAAATCAATAAAAAAATGATAAGACTTGATGTGGTAGCATACATAGGTGTACTCATGTCTTTTTTGCCTCTTGGTAGCATGTTATGATTTGGGGTTCATGAGTCACCAGGCAAAGGAAGTTATGCTTTAATTTATTGGTAAACACTGACAATTAGGGTGAGGCTCTTCCAGGGTATTACAATAGATTCAGGGCCAGAGAAATATTAGAAAATAGGAAAGGTGGGTATCAATAGAGGGAGAATAAAAATACTGTGGGATTGGTAAAATGCCAACATTATTTGTCTTAAATGCCACCTGTTGCCTGTTTTTATTCCCTTATCCTCTAAGGGCATGGTAAGGATATTAGGGTGAATAAGATAGTTATCTTAAAAAGTATATTGAAGGATACATTTCTTTTTATTCCTTAAATTTTGTTATTTATTGAATTTAGAGGGGAAGGGGTAAGAGAGAGAGAGAGAGGAAAAGAGAGAGAGACCTATTTGTTCCATCTGGGTCAACCCCACAGCTTTGGTGTATCTGGATGATGCTCTAATCAACTGAGCTACCTGACCAGGGCTGGAGGATACATTTTATTTCAGCTTTATTTGATGAGATGGGAGGGGCAATTAAAGGTTTTAAAGAAGAGACACAACCTCCTTTAAATTTCTGTAGTGTACAATTGTAAAGTTAGGTCCATTGTAAGAAACAAAACCTTATTCCAACCTAAAATAAGCTAAGAAAGAGCATTTTATTTTAAGGATAAAGGAGCTAAGAACCAGAATGTAGAAATGTATGCATGACCTAGAAAGGAAATTAAATTAGTCTTAATCTTATTTCTGGTTTTCTCTGTGTCTGCTTTATTCTTCCTGCAGATTTTCTCTGCTGCTTTCTACAACAATCAATAGTTAACTTTTTCGGCTATTTACTATATGTCAGATACTTTGCTAAATGTCCTATATCAATTCTCTCCTATAATCATCCTATCAAATCTATGAGGTTATTCATTCTCATTTTATGGATAAGCACAGCATAATTTTAAGAACAGTACATATCTAGTTTGAGTCTGGGCTGTGATTAATTTTTCAATTATCATGTTCTATATGAAAGATGACCATACTTCAGCTCCTAATATTTTCTACCTCCTATATTAAGAGACTACATTTCAGTCTGAATGTCATTTTCCTTTGGCGGAAAAAAACCGAAAACAAAACTTTTGGTTTGGCTTGGATGAGGTACCTAGATTATCAGTTGGCCATGGCTAGTCAATATGGTTTGAGTGGTTCAGACACATGGGAGGTCTCTGCTGTTTTGGGATAGCTCACTTCTCAGAGAAAGTGGAATTATAAGCTGGTGGTACCTTGACAGATATCGAAGAGTAAAAATCCAGAACAGTGTAAGTATTTTACAGAATAGTTTTGAAAGGGAAATTTAGGATGAAATTTAGAAAGAAAGACTTAGGATGCTATTACTATAAAACTGAGAGTACAAAGGGAGGGAGTAAAAAGGAAGGGAGCATTTTGAGGGATGAAATGATAGAAATGGATATTGAGTAAAGGAAAAGGAATAATCAAAGATCTTGAAATGTCAAGGTTGATCATTCAGGATTGGTGATACCATCAATATAAGAGAGTGATGGTGATAGAGGAGGGAGAACAAAATTGAAGAGTAAGGAAAATTTTTGTTTTGGGCATGTTGGTTTTGATGCTGCTAGGATTTTTCATTGGAAATTTACGATTAAAATAATGGAGTCAGGTTAAAGTTGGAGCTATGTAGAAGGAAGAATGGGAACCAAATGGTATTTTTTTGTTTTTTTTTGTTAGAGAAAAGGAAAATTGAAGACAGACCATGGTGAATACTCACATGGAAGATTAAGAAAACAGGGTACCAAGGATGAATAATGAACTTCAGGAAGGGAGAATTACAGTATAGCAACACAGACAAACAATTGGTTTTTCAGGAAAGAATAGTTGATAGTGACATTGCTGCCAAGTATACTAGACTAAAAAAAGGTCTGGAGACAGCAGTGATAGTTCCTTGGTTTGGGCAGGATGCTCTTATAAGGCATTGAAGAGAATAGAGATTATAGGATGTTTTCCCATTGAGTTTTAGAGAAGTGGGAGGGAGGGGGAGAAATAGAAAGAAACAGCGATTTGAGCGAGATTGCCTCCGGTACACACCCTGACCAGGGCCAGGGAACTGGAATTGAACCCGGGACCTTTCAGTCTGCAGGCTGATGCTCTCTCCACTGAGCCAAACCAGCTAGGGCTAGATTGAATTTTTAAAATGTTAGGAAAGAGGAAAATAAAAGGATTGGGGGAAAGTTTGGTTGATTTTTAAGGGAAGCTCTTTGTGGATAGGTGTTCATAATTTAGAGAAAGCACTTGAATTGCTTTATTCACCTCAAGTATGAATGTTTGGTTGAGAAATTTTTTAGACTTATACAACGTATTGATCATTATCATAGTGGTGAGAGGTTAAAATACTTACTGATGACTATTTTTGTATTTTATGTGTATTTGTTGTTCTTTTTAAAAATATATTTTATTGATTTTTTTACAGAGAGGAAGGGAGAGGGATAGAGAGTTAGAAACATCAATGAGAGAGAAACATCTATCAGCTGCCTCCTGCACACCTCCCACTGGGGATGTGCCCACAACCAAGGCATATGCCCTTGACCAGAATCGAACCTGGGACCCTTCAGTCCGCAGGCCTACATTCTATCCACTGAGCCAAACCAGTTAAGGTGTATTTGTTGTTCTTAATTACCAAGCTTAAGAGATATGTTAGAAATTTTATCTACTTATATGATTTCAATGAGATACAGTGAGGATATTTTATATTTTAAACATTCTACTTCGAAAACATGCTGAGAGTGAATCATGAAAAAAAAAAATGGCCAAAAGCCAATTAAGAATTTGCATTAATTAGATATTGCTATTTTAGCGCTAAAAGAAAGACTATTTCTTTCCTGCAGTAATTTTTTCCTATTGCTCTGCCTCTTTTTATTACAGTGCTTTCTTGTTTCTTACATTGTTAGGGAGAAATTGCCAGATGGAATCAAAAGATTTTAGGGATTGATCTAGGGTTATATTATTTTACTAGAGGCCTGGTGCATGAATTCGTGCACGGGTGGGGTCCTGCCAGCCCACCCAATCAGGCTGGACCCGGCTGGGGGGAGGGGCCGTAGGTGGTCGGCCAGGCAGCCCCACCCTTTGGTCGAATTCCCAGTTGAACTCCGGGTGGACGGGACAATTTGCATATCAGCCTTTTATTATATAGGATATTTATTTATTTATTTATTATTTATTATTCTTTATTTTTATTTTTAATTCCTTATTTTTATAAATTAAGTTATTATCTGTGTACATATCTTACCATTGCCCTCCCCCCCAATACATACCCTCCCTCTCCAGAGTTTTGGTCCTTCGGTTGATCTCTTATCTCCCCCAGATCTCCCTACCCTCCCCGCTGTAATTTGACAGTCTGCTTGTTGCTTTACTGTCTATATCTCTCTTTTGGTTCATCAGTTTATAATGTTCTTTATTACCCATAAATGAGTGAGGTCATGTGGTGTTTCTCTTTCATTGACTGGCTTATTTCACTCAGCATGATGATCTCCAATTTTGCCAGGGCCATCCTGGCGGGTGAACCGGGCTGAGGTGGGAATTGAGAAAAGAAAGACAGAAGAGCGG